GGGGGAGCATCAATTTTTTTAGTTGTATTTCTACAGTGGGAGTGTTCTCGTGCTGGGAAGTACTGATGAGCGTATTGATATTATCTCTTGCATGTGTTGATCCTGGCATGATGGCTGGTTTTTGTATAGACGGTTGTGGGATGCCGAGTCAGTGGGTTTAACATGAAGAGCCAGTGTTTGAAACTGTTGGCAAACGGACATCACTCTCACCATGTAATTAGTGCAACAGACATTTTAGCCTCACAGTTCCGTCTCTCACTTTTCACGTAGAATTCTAATTGTATCTCACCTTCATCGACAATTGGCCTTGTCTACTTAAACTCAACATCGAGGCTTCCACTACACTGCACCTACACACACACACACACACACACATTCTATCTGGCCACGAACTACCCACACCCAACTCTTCCAGTACATTTACCATCACCATGGACGAAGCTAGCAATCCCAAAGGATGGACCGATCGTGAGATCGTAAGTGGAAACACTTTGGCAAAGAGCAACACTGACTCCAACCAGCTCTCCAGCCTCTTGTATCTCATCCAAAAGGACAACATCACTCTTGACTGGGATGTACGTAACCAAAATCAGAAACAAAGAACGCGCGGGAAACCAAAACTAACGCATGGCAGGGTGGTCTCTACGCTGCTGGTCGCACTGCCAGCGGCTTCAAGCAGAAGACCAACAAGCTCATCAGGGCGTTTAGGCCAGAGTGGGATGCCATGACGTCCGGTGCACCAGCCCCTCAGGCCACTCCCAAGAAGTCACCTGCTACTCCTCGCAAGCGCAAATCCAAGGTCGACCAGGAGGACAGCGAGGATGTTCCGAGTGTCAAGAAGCCGCGAGGCAGGCCGAGGAAGAAGGCTGCTACACCCAAGAGTGAGGATGACGAGGTGGACTTGGACGTCAAGACTGAGCCAAAGGAGGAGACGGAGGAGCAGATTTATGACATTGATGCGGACGTTTGAAGCATCCGGCTATCGTACAAAGGGAATGAGCAGCATGCACACGTACTGTGTGAGAAGAGGCGAGCAGGTTACACCACAGTTATTCAAAAAGAAATTTACACCGAAACTCTGCGTGCTTCTTAGGTTGATTCTGAATGATGAGCTAGTAGCAAACGCAGAGCGATCAATCCTCCGAACCAGCACCAACCTGGCGTAACGCACATACATCGAAACTCACCTTCACTGCATGACTTCACTACTAGCATCCTCACTCACCTCACACGAGATAGGCTCTCTTTCACTTACACATATACACTCAACGTCCCCTAAACATCTTCTTTTTTTCTCCAACCACACAACCTCAACCAGCCATCCACACCAAACCCCAACAAAACGACTACATCCAACCCAAAATGTCCACTGACACGACCGCAAAAGGCTGGACCGATCGCCAACGCGTACGCCCTCCCCCATCTGACAAAACTCATGATAAGACTAACCAATACAGCTTGCCTACTACTTCTCGCTAGTCGAGCACTCCAACGTAAAACTAGATTTCACCGTTCGTCATCCCCCCTTCCCTCCCTCGTCATCCCCCGCTTACCAAAAACAAAAACAGAACGCACCCCGTCCCGAGGGCAAATCCGTAGGCGCATGCCGCATCATGGTCGACCGGCTCAAGGGCACGTTGAAAGAGGAGTTGGCTGCACTACGCGGTAGCGACGCTAGTGCAGGTGATACTACGCCTAAGAAGGCGGTTACGACGCCGAGGAAGCGGAAGGCAAAGGCGGAGGTGGAAGGGGAGGATATCACACCAGTGAAGCGGGAGAGGAAGAAGAAAGTCGAGGATGAAATGGGAGAAGAGGAGAAGGTGGTGGTTGGTAACAACATGGGCAAGGAGGAGCATCTTGAGGATGTCGTCTGACATGGTGCTACTACGTACTAGTAGCTTTTCCAGCCTCTTCATCCAAATTTTCCCAAGGTTTGGGCCTCACAGGGTTTTGTACTTGTTTAAGATGGGACAAAGGGAGGAAGTCTATATACCCTGTAAGGAGGAAAACAGAGAGAGAAGCGTGCAACAAAGAAAATGAAGCTTGCATGTGCGTAGGCACTTAACAGGGCAGCAAGGCGTCTTAATCGGTGGACGAGCATCCGTACGACCCTCACCTTAGAGGTACGCCCCCCCCTTACGAATAGGCAGTACTAGGCACGCATGTAAGCCCTGGGCACTGCCCGTCTCTATACTCCGCGGGAGATTTTTAATCATAGACGTTGAACTTACCAGTCAATCAATCATTCGTCCATTCAGAGTCTATCCAAGGGCCGTGCAGAGTTTCGGTACTACGAAGTTAATTAGGTAAGTATACGGACCTCTTCACTTAGTCGCAAGAGCATCATTCAATAGTCCTTATTTTGGCTGGTACGGGCTCTCTGAAGTGGCTAGATACAGTAATTATTTTTCTCTCTAAAATTTGTGCAGTAGATAGACAAGGAGAAGATGTTAAGAAAGCTTCTTTGGCATAAAAATTCCTTACTGTGATCGGTGCTTCGAAAAGAACTTGGTTCTAATTCTGGATAAGTCTTCGAAATGTAGGATCTGTAATTCTGTTTTTTTTTAGGGAGGGGGTAGCAAGAACATTTTGAACAGCACTTCGTAGCATCACGGAACAACGAAGAAAACTCTCGTTCATAAAGATTCAACATGAAAGTCGTGATAAATCTAATCTCTCATACTATCGTTGACAAGGAAAAGCTAGAAATTTTTAAAAAAAAACTCAACTGGGTATCAAAAACTGTTCTCTCGCACTTCATCCTGGACCCCCTTGTTCCAGTTATGAACCGTCATCATCATTCTCTTCATGGCCAAGTGTGACAGCACGGGTGTCATTTCCAAAGTCCAGACGTATTCCAAAAAGACAAGACAACTTTCCATTTACCGCGTATAATCCGGCTTTGTCGCTTTGTTGACAATCGGAGGCGGTCCATCCGTATCCGGATATGGCAAAGGTGCACCAGGTGGAGGTCTCGAAAACGACGAACCGGGAGGTGGCGACATGGGCGACATGGGCAACACACCTGAAAGAGGTGGAGGGGGTCTTCCGTCTTGTAGAGGTGTCTTGGGAGGTCTGGGTGGTGCGTTCGACATGCGATCATCCCAGCTGATTGCCGAGCTGACCATTGATACCGGGCGTCCAGCTGAGAACTGTTCATGTGAGCGGCGGCCAGGGGAAACAAGCTCGCCAGAATGTCGATGCATCAGGTCATGATAATTCTCCGAGACTGGTGATGGCGGGTGTTCATCAGAGTTTACCACCAGGTACTTGTCGTTTTCTGATGGCCGACGTTGGTCTGCTGGTGGAGGCCGGAAGGCTGGGTGTATGTTTGCGTAATACTCGGGTGAGAGTTCCTCAGCTGGGAGTTCGACGGCCATGGGCGCTGGATCTGGGACACTGGGAAGAGGCTTGTTCGGTGCTTGTGCAACAGGCGAGTATGGTGATTCTCCTTTGGCCGCGCGCTCCCATCGTATTTTGGCGAAGTGGATACGTGCAATCTTTGCAGCTGCGTCCAACGTCATACCTTGTACAATCTGGTCCGCCAGGTACATGCGCGTGTTTGTGCTGATATCGGCCAAGGCGTTCCATTCGTTCATGCCAAACTCGCCCACACCGACGTTTACGTTGAGGCGGTAGTAGTTCTCCTGGTTAACATGTCGTTTTGCAAGGTGGTCCTTCATCTCCTTGTGCGTCTTCTCACATCCTTCGATCTTGGATATCAGTCTCCGTCTGGCCTCGGCAAAGTCTCCCATGCCGCCAGAAACGAATCCTTCCCACCATAAGTGTTGCTGCGCATTTGTACCCTCGGGTCGTTTTCCAGTACCAATGCTGATGAAGACACCAACTTCACGCCCTGGCCATTCGTTGCAAACGGCTTCATCCAGAGCCATAGGTGCTGGGTTATATTTGCCAGAGCCTTCGTCGAGGAAGACTGATTGACCAATTTGGATGGGCTTGAAGGCCAAGGCAGTTGCAGAGGTTGCTCGACCGGCTTGCCATATCGTCGCGTTGGGTTCGATAGCGGGTTCTTTGCGCGAGTCGTAGGAGCGAAGAAGGATCTGGCCGCCGCTGGACTTCCTGGTACCTTTGTAGACGGCCGTGACAGCGCTGCAGATTGTTAGTGAACTTGGTTTTTGTAAAAAAGAACAGAAAGTGTACTTACGTCTTGGTGCGCTCTTCGCGATTGTCGTAGAGCAAAGCGTGCGGGTTCCCCCACTTCATGGCAGCGATGCGCATGTTGACGGGCGACGTGCCAATCTGACTGTAGTTGCTGGCATTACTAGCACTCCTGTGCATACGGCCCGACGTGGCGCTCCCTGGTGTCATAGGCAGTGAATCTCGTCCTTCGTGACTGTCGTTGCCTTCGTCATCGTAGATGGTGTGTTCGCGCACACACTGCATGATGGCTTCTTCTAGCTTCGAGGCCTTGAATAGTGTTGACCGGTACGGTATGCCCGCAAATGTCTTGTCCGTTTCAAAGACTCTTCTCGTCATGCGCACGTAAACGTCTTTGCACGTCTCCACGTCCATCCTTAGCCGCCCAAGCATTATAGCAATCAAACCGCCGGTGCCTGTCCCCACAATGAGGTCGAAGTGTTCGCATGGCTTTGGTACTTCGTGTCTTTTGGGTGCCCGGCCGTGTATTTCGACAAATGTTCGATGCATCAATTCCTGGAGGATAATAAGCATGGAGTACCCCCGCACGCCTCCACCATCTGTCAAACATGTTAGCAACCCCGCTTCATACTGAACCCGCGCTTCGACCACGTACCGAGAGACAAGATGCGCAACGGCGGTCCCTTTGTTGTATCCTTTCTGCGAATCCCATTGCTTGCCATGTTGGGCACGGTAACCGAGGTAGTTGGCAAAAGCATGGAGTAACTGGCACCAGCAAAGTGGTTGCCTGGAGAAGACGAGGGCAGCTCTCCTATAGGCGGAGGCTGAGAATAAGGCTGGTGGATAGTCGGATCTGCCGGGTTGAGGGTTGGCGTTATATCAGGCAGCGCAGCGGGCCAACTGGCGGAGCTGATTGTGTGATACGGAGGCTGAGCAGAGTCCAAGCCTAGGCGCGCGCGCTGAAGGCGCTCAAAGACGGTGAGGGTAATGTGGCTGCAACCGGCGAGGGCAGGCGACGTAGGAACTAGTCACAGGAGAGACAGTGAGTATGTAGGGGTTCACGTGGATTTACTTGAAAGATTCTTGAGCTTTCTTCGCCCTGGGACAGCAGCCAGTTGGTACCAGCACCGTCATTCGTCATTCGCCAAGCATAGCTCCAACCGAACTGCACCGCCACCTCGAAACCTGGCACATCCCGGCCTCGCGCTGCTGCCAGAGCCCAAGATCTTCCGCCTCTACCGGTTTTGCATCCAGAGATGTTTTGCCCTTGCAGCGGCAACGCGGTGACCCGCTTTGCCATCTGAACTCTCCCCTGTCACGACTGAGTGCGATTCCACGCCTGTCCAATCACTGTTGCCCGGTGATGACTCGGATGGTCACGCTTCCATCGCATCTCGCTCCCTCCGGCCGAATGAACATAGCGTGCGGATGTTGATCCAAGTTGAGCAAGCAGACCGTCCTGCCGTGTCGCTTGTGTTTGCACTACTCGCCAGTCACTACGCCCGTGTTAAAAACTATATACCCAACCCGCACAGACCAGCTACATGTGGGCCAAAGGGTGCGAGTAGCTCCATGCAAGAAACCCTGAATAGTAGCTCGAAAGGTTGTGTAGAAAGCCGGTACAGGAGGGTAACGTTCCAGGTACCATACGACCACCGAAAGCCTTATTGCTTTTATGACGCACGCACTGCACTTCACTCTGCGGGTTACATGTAAAAGACATAGTAGCCTTCACGATTTCACAATCTAGATGATGTGAATCAGTGCAAACATCGCACATGTGACGCCCCGGATTGCTCTTCTTCACAGCGAGTCTTGCTCATGTAAGGATGAATGAACCCTGAGTACACCGTCACTTTAAGCTTTCTTCGGTACCACGACCAGTCCTTTGCTCTCCTTTGTTCGCCACTGTATTGCTTTTGCGATATGATACAGCACCTCAAGAGTGGGCATAGGAACACCTGCATTCTTTCCCGCCTTAAGCGGCTCGCCTAATATGTTCTCGAACTCGATAAAGTTACCCTATCAATGTCAGCATTATTTGTTGTGCTTACACACGATAAGCTTGACCGCTCCAAAAACGTACTTTTTCTAGATCCTGCTGCATGCTTGGCTTCAAATAGCTTTCTAGCGGATCCATGTTGATTGTAGCCTCCACCACTTCGTCAGGCAACTCCACTCCGCATACCGCTTTAGCAGCCGTGACAATTTCTCGCATCGCTGGCCGGACAAGTCCATCCAGAGCACCATCAGCAAGACGTATGCGCCCGTCATCTAGGCCCGTAATAGCGCAGATTGGATTCAAGGCTGCATTGAAGACAAGCTTCTTCCAGCGATCATATAGGACATTGGGTGAGTATTGGCAGTCAGTCTTTCCTCCTTTGCCATATAACTCAACAAATTCTTCCGCCCTTCTCTCCGGAACAGCGGGGTTGATGTTCGAAGTGGGAAAGGCTCCGACAAGCAGTCTATCGGGTTCGTTGTGCACAATCACTCCTGGTGAAGGCTCCGCGCTACCAATCATAGAAATTCCAGAAAGAATCGGAACATTGCGATGAGGGCGGAGAAAAGGCTTCTCGATATTGAGACCGTTTTGGAGGAGAAGAAGCGTCGTCTTGCCGCTATCTTTGGGAAGTGCTGGTGTGACAAGCTCAACCGCTGTAGGTGAAGTATCGGGTACATTCTTGGTGCAGAGTACAACATAGTCATATGGCGGGATGTTCTCTTCGACAAGGTTGGGGACGGTGTTACGAACTCGCTACTGTTAGCCTCGACGCATGTGCTGCAGTGGGAGATGTGAATCGCTGCATACTAACGCTGGGCCGCCAACCGTTCAGTGTTCCATGATCGCAGCTATCGATTGTAAAGCCTTTTTCCTTGACAACGTTGTAGTTGGATCGCAGCACAACGGTAACTGTTGCAAGACCGCCAACTTCCAAATTTACAGCGGCAATAGTGCCGACAGCACCACCGCCAATAATGAGAACCGTCTTCTTGGAATCAGCCATTGTAGAATGCAGAATGGAGAGTTTCTTCGCCGTTAAGAAGTATTGTTCTATCAGCCGGTTGTACATGCCGTCAGCGAGAAAGGTGCGTCACGCTAGTGGGTTCGGAGGGGCAGCGACATAGGAATGTGACTCCCAAACGTCTCAACCACAGTCGAGTGTACTTGCTTGATTAGGCTATTATACGCGGCACACATGTTAGTCACGTCAATAGATTGATGCACAATGTTTTGCGGTCCCTTCAATCGAGCTCCATTTGATGCATATGTAGGTTACAGTCCGTAAATTCGTGGCTGGTGACCCTGTGTCGCCAAATCTTCCGCCTCACACGCCTTCATTCGTGTTATACTGATGGTTGATGCATTGCTTGAGTCGAAGGTAGAGCCGTCCATTCCATCCGCCCGAAGACTACGCCGAGAGCCCAGCAAAAGAGAGAGAAAGAAGGCGCACGCTTAGAAGACAAGAGCAGCACCCTTGGTCTTCTTGTCACCACCAAGCTCGAAGTGCTTGCATCGCTTAAGGGCAAGCTATTCCCAGGTTAGTAGCGGCATAGAGCATAGAGTGTTTAGAGAAACGTACCTGTGCCTTGGTCTTGCAAGCAGTGCACTCTAGACGGAGAACGACCTTCTTGGTGGTTTTCGCCCTCTGTGTATTGTCAGCGCCGATATCGCGTCATCTATTGCAGTCGATCGTACCTTGTGGAAGACGGGCTTGGTCTGACCTCCGTAACCGGATTGCTTGCGGTCATAACGACGCTTACCCTGTGCGAACAGAGAGGCCTTTCCTGCCTTGTATTCTACAACGTCTCAGCATGCGAAGGAAACATATGGGAGCGTTGATCACTAACGGGTGACCTTGTGCTGGGTGTGCTTCTTGCAGTCTTTGCCCTTGCAGTAGGTTCGGCGGGTCTTGGGAACGTTGACCTGAAAGACGGAAATCAGCATTTGTCTTATGACTTTCCGTATGCATATTATCTTTCTTGGATGACAGCTGAACATGCGACACGAGCGGGCGAGTATTATATGCGTGCATGACGAGTCGTAAATATGCGGCGGAGGCGACTCGGGAGAGCGGGCGAGAGAGTCAAAGGCGATGCAGTACCGGCGCCGCCCGACATGAGGGTATCTTTGGCTTGTAGCAACTGTTCCGCGATAGAGTACGACATGGACGCCATAAGTGCTCTGCACTGGGATTTGTCGCCTCTCCAACCCGCACCACCTGCGCCCGATTCTTTCCATTGACTTCCTTTAGCGCAGTGATGCTTTCTCCACCCCTCTAAAGAACCATATATTCCACATGCCGAGGCCATTTTTAGTATTCGATGTTGTTGTGTTATTCGCCGATCCGCAATTTTGCCATCGTCGTCGAAGATTCGTCGTGTTGCTCGCTCGTGTCATGGCTGTCGTATTGCGCAATCTCAAACAGAAAATGCTGCACTCACCATTTTGACGGATTTTTGCTCTGTGGTTAGTATGAGCGAAAAGGTTGGCGGTAGTGCTGGAGATGTTGATGCTGGGCGGCCGATATTACTAGCGTGTGTGGGCTTCGGCTAGGTTAGTAAGCCAAAACTCATGCGCCACGCATCAGCCACAGTCAAAAGCTCAGGGCGTCACGATCAATTTGCATTCGCAGTGTTGTTCAATATCCAGGCATGCAAGGATGAGGTCGAAGGTAAACAAAAAGTAGAATTCATCGTTGTGGTATCATGCGCAGCAAATCCAATGAAAATGTTTCCCCGTCCATCTTCTCTTGATTGTCATAACCAACTTATGAAGTCATTCTGAAGAACAAAAGAAATCCACAAATGCAATCCTAGTAGACAGGACGGCCCTCTTCCCATTTCTGAACATCCTTCACATCCTTCACATCTTTTGAAGCAGATGGCGGGCTGCTGCCCATACCAAGACTGAAGCGCCCGCTATCTCGGGCACCACTACTTCGACCATCCTCGAGTCGCCTCACAGGGCCGACCCACTCCCACATTCGAGCAACGTCACCATTGGCTGTTGTGCGGACACCCGCACGGACGTTGCTATTCTTCTCAACTTTCGCCTGGACTCTTTTCCACAGTTTCTGCCGCCGGGACGCATTGAACTCAGTGCGTAAGACGTCGTCCCGAAGCTGTGTCATGCTAATGCCCTTTTCTACACCGGGCGCTTGGTAGCTGAGTGCAGCTTGGTCTTGCAGTCTGTCGTAAGCGTCGCTGGCTAGCTGCTTTGCGCGGATTTCCATTGCTCGATTGCTTGTATATGAGTATTTTCCGTATAAGCCCGTAGCAATCACTAGGAAGAACATTACAATCTGGAGAAGATGTCGTTCAAAAGACTGTCGGAGGGATCTTCGGACGCTACAGGAGAGGGAGAGCTTTGCGAGAGAGGTTGATGCAAGACGTCGTTTGCCGGTTGTTCTGTATCCACGGAAGAGGAACTGATTAGTACAATTCCATGTCAGAAATGATGCACATATGGTTTGGGACCTGAAAGAAGAGTACTTACTCATCAGTAGTTTGCACTACCTCTTCACGCATCAGAAGCTCAGGAAAAGCCCTGTCAAATAAATCGCTAAACTCTTGATCCGTCAAGCTCTTGCTTTTTTGTGCAGCCATTTGCTCCTTTAGGTCAACTTCGCTGACCTCAGGGCTTTCTACGGGATGTCCTTCTGCGTCAGGCTCACCACATTCGTACTGTGCCTTGCGTTGGCGAAGGACCTCCACGGCCCTGTTGGCAATGCCGTTTACTTTACGAGTCTTCTCGCTATCCGGCTCGCATGTCGGTGGAAGAGGCACCAGGCCACCAAGTGACAGTGGATGGTCCTTCTTGATGAAATCGGGATCACATCGGACATTCAAGCCTCGATAGCACTGGGCATGTGGTGGGCAAGGCTCACACTGCGGGAGGATTTGATCGGCCCAGCTCGGTATCTCTACACCAGCAAGTGCAGTAGCCTCTCGCCCAATACCGCAGAAACCAACATTGATCTTCTCTTGTCGCCAAACGCCAGCAAAGGCCGCTGTAGCAGTAAGGAGGATAGTTCCTGCCATCGCTTTGATGGTACCAGTAGCCTTGTTTTTCTTCTGTCTTTTTCTTGGTGGGAGAATGTCCACCTCGCCGGCCTTTGCACGCTCACGCACCAGCTCGAGCTGCTCCTCAGGCGTAAACTCTTCCCCAGCGTCTGCGGTATCCTCCTCCTCCTCATGCTTTGTACGGGGATCGGCGACATCGAATGTTCCGCGTGTAGGCACCATGATACCATCGTCTATTTGTTCAGTCTTGGGTTGGACTGTTCGTCGGCGGTGCACATCACTCTTGCGCCTCTCATGCTGGCTATATCCTGTGGTTCGCCTTCGACGTTCGCGCGAAATAGTGTCTGGTATCGCGGGGGAGCTTCCACTCTGGAACGGGTTTTCTTGGGTAAAAGGGCTCGCCGCATCGTTACGGTGCCACGCTTCTGGTTCAGGTGATGGCTCTTTTGGGAGTGGGAGTGGAGCAGGTGTAGCGCTCTTGCGCGTGCGTCTAGCTGCAGGCCGCTCATCTACTTCAGGCTCCGCAGCCCTGCTATGCTTTGCAGGCACAGTGCGGGAAGGTGTTTTGGAACGTGGTGCAGGCGCATCTGCCTCCTCCGTCGTTGCGCGCCCCGTTCTTCGTAGTGTTCTTCGACCAGTCGCGGGTGCGGGAGCCACGAGTGTTTCGTCTTCGACATCGGTTGTATCCACTGTGCTGGCTGAGCTGGAAGGTACGTCTACGATGCCCCGCGTTGATCGCTTCGTCCGCGCATACGCCCGCTGAACTTGGGATTTTTGGGGCAGGACGACGTCGTTGAAGAGGCCTACGAGAATAGGCTTCTTTGCCGAAGATGGATAAGTGACGCCGTGGCGAAGGAGGATGCTGCGGAGTTCGGGCACCGTGATCTTGTTCGCATCCACACCATCTTCGTAATACCAGTACTCCCCGCGCGCATCCGCCATCTTGTCGTCAGGGTATGTGGGAAGTCTGGACACACAAAAATGTTTGTCTTGGCGTCTGATGATGTGTACGTGGAAAAAGGTGTAGGAGGGGACGGCCCAGGCGGATACTTTGGTACTGGATGTGAGCAGTAGGTGGAGCAAGGAAAGTCTGTTTCGCTTGTTTGTGATGTCACCAAGGCAACACGATGGTGTCCTGGTCCGTGCGCTCTCCTGGGCCTTCTCGTCTCTTGTGCCGTTGCTTTAAAACTTTAAAACCTTAAAACAAAGTCAAACGCGACAAAAGCTCCATGTCATCGTGTACAAGGATACTGCTAGTAGTTTCGAGTTTTTTTTGAACTGAGCGTTTTGTCGTGAGAGTCACTTGGTTGGCATGTTTCACAGCTCGCGACCATCTTTTGGACAAGCAGTATCCATACATGTTTGGTTGCAGCCTCATTGTTGACTTTCATCTTTGTTCAGTCTCAGCAATGGCTCACTTACCAGTGCTTTCGTCGAGGTACTTGCATGAGGCATTTACAAAGCAAGCTCGCAGTGAGATTTACCGCTCCAGACATTGTTGGTTCTTTCACATGATGAGATGGACACCCAGTGATGGCGGAGAAGCGCAAGTTGGTAGACTGTAGTTTCATCTGATGCAAGTCAGGATTCGCATTACAACTTGAAATTCCTAATGAAGAAGCAGGGCTTTTGTGGCTGTAGCGTGCGAAAGAGCAATACACCATCACGATGATGTAAGAATATGCTCTGCGGTTGCATATTGCCCAGCCGTCCCCAGATCAATTCCAGAGTCAAGCTCCTCAAATTCGTAGCACTTTGGGACGCCCATTTGACGCAAGCATTCAACCCCATCCTCAAAGTAGCTAATTGTGGGGTATACACCGGCTTAATGTAGCTTAATCTCGGCAACCCTGCGACATCACCACCCTCCTGCCAATGAGACTACATTTTTACCATCTTAGGCTACCGCTACATTGCTAGCAATGAATCCACGTGCCACCATCGTCGCGTTCGAGAATATGAGGCCCGCCGCCTCCGTTCCGGGCTTATACGGAGGGCAATGTGCCCCCGGACCGTATGGCCGCCGCTAGATCCACCCGGGGCCCTGAAATGGCGGCGAATAAATTGAGTAGCAGTATGACCGAGCGCATATTAAGTGGTTGTGCGAATCTGAGCAAAGTCAGATGTCCTTTATGGGATATTAGAGTGCAGGGCTATGAACATGGATGTGAAGCTTTGCCTGTGTTCTCGGGCCAAGAATGGAGTTTATATACCACCGTGGAGTCGACATGTAGCAGCATCAGATTTGAGTTGTCTGGACTCATCTCTTCACTCCTTAGACTCTCTCTGTCTCTACGATCAAGATGTTGGGAAAAGCTACCATTGTCAATGCGCTTGTGAGCGCCGTCTCTGCGGGTTCGTCAGCACCTCGATGTCCTTGTATATCACTACTAACACTCACCAGGCACAATCCTCTGGGATGGTCGCTTCAACGACATGACCTCAAGTGCTGATCTCGAGAAATGGTCCTGGGCAAACCAAGTCGGCAGTAAGCCCACCACCAACGTCCTCAATTCCGCAACGACCATACCTAACCCTCTTCCCAGACTATCAATACTACATCCACGGCTCTGGTCCAACCTCGCGCTATGGTATATCCCTCCCACCCCTCCTACACACACCCCAAACTAACCACCCCCAGTCAACCTCTCCCCGAACTACAAAAACTCCGGCGACACCGGCAGCAAGCAAGGCGCCAAAATCACCATCGATAGCACCGCAAAATGGAACAGCGACATGTGGCGCACCGAACTCATCCCGCAAACCAAAGCCCCCATCAACCAAGGCACAGTCTTCTACCACTTCTCCATCAAGCGCTCCACCACAAACGTCCCCAGCGCAACAAACGAGCACCAAATCGCCTTTTTCGAGTCCCATTTCACTGAGCTGAAATATGGCTGGATTAGCGGCGAGTCGGGAACCAGCAACACCAACTTGTGAGTACATACCCTCCATGTCCCCTATCCCCGTCCCCAAAACAAGACATCACCAGCCAAAAAAAATCATAGAGTCAGTGAGAAAAAAAAAATTGCTGATTTGTATGGCCACACAGGCAATGGATGGTGAGCGGCCAGAGCAAATGGAAAACCGAGCTCAAAGCCGACGAATGGCACAACGTCGCCTACGAGATCAACTTCTCCTCCAACCAAGTCTCCTTCTGGCACTCTACGGGTAACAGCTCGCTTGTCAAGACCGCCGGCCCGTTTTCAACGGGTACCTCGTCGAATGGCGCGGATTGGCACTTGGGTGTGCTCAGGTTGCCCAGGCAAGGACTTGATGGCACGGGCGCCGAGGATTGGTATTTCAGTGGCACGTATGTGGAGAGTGGGCCGATTACGACGAGCATTGCTAGTCCTGCGGCTTGAGATTGATGGGCTGTGCTTGGGGGAGGGGATGGAGCGGAGGGGATGAGGTAGGAGCGGGGGTTTATGTACATAAGGTTTTGATATTTGCATACGCAACGTCATCTACTGCGAAGCGAGAGACACAAGGTGGTGAGACACTTTTACACCAAGATCCGAAAACCTCATTCTACTCAACACTCCCCTTCCTGAGAAACAAATGGTACTTGGTTTTGTGGTTTCTTCTTGTTCATGCATAAGCTTGTGTCTGTAGTCCTCCCAACGCTGATGTACTATCGATCATTTCATTGACGTTCCACCAGGTTCTGCCTCTATATAGCTGTACTTAAACCAAGGTGTTTATCTAGAGGGATTTTAGGTCTAGGTTCTGTTCGTGGTAGGTTGTTTTCCATCGAATCCAGACTAAGTGCTTAAAGTATGCTAAAGCCTCTCCTAGAACTAACTCTCGTTAAGATACTAGACAAGGGAGATCTACCGGAAAACTGAGAGTAAAATGCAAAGGTAAAGCTGGAGGGAAGCGTAAGACTGCAGCTAGAGGAGAACCTTAGGCTAAAAACAGGATGACAGAATGACGTGGAGAATGGAGTTTAGATCGAAGTCCAGGTTGCGTTAGCAAGGATGCCTAGGCCCATGCCCACGTGACAGGCGAAGTGGGCAAAAATAAAAAGTTGCAAAACAAAAACATACGACAGCGGGTATTCGCCAGTGGTCACC